AGGCGCGGCTCCTGCGCCGGCGCGCCGAGGTGAAGGACGGCGGGGGCGCCGCGTCGCTGGCGCCGACCGCGCGGACGCCGTCGCTGGCGACGCTGTCCGTCGACGACCGCGGCGCGGACGGCGGCTCGCTCAGCGTCGCGTCCCCCAACGGCCACTCGAAGAAGACGGAGGATTCGAAGCTCCAGCGCTTCAAGTGCCGCTTCGAGAGCTTCCTGAAGGACTTCGAAACGTACGCGGAGGCCAAGAAGCCGCGGTCGCCGTCGCCCGAGGCCGCGCCCGAGGACGACGAGGACGTCGACTTCTGGCTCAAGGGCAAGAAGCGCAAGGACGACCGCTCCGTCGCGACCGAGTCCCTGGTCGACACGCCGCCGCCCAAGCCCGTCTACAAGCACACGCGGCTCCGCACGCTCGGCAAGGAGATGTCCAAGTCCGTCATGGACATCTGGGTCGACAAGCGGCCGCCGAGCGGGCAGACGTCGACGCCCAACTTCTGCCCGCGGACGACCTGGAGCCCGCGCATCACGTCGACGGCGCCCGTGCCGAAGAAGATCGTGCTGGAGCGGCTGGCCGAGGAGTCGGCGGCGTCGTCGAACCCGACGGCGCCGACCGCGGGCCCGAACCGCGGCGTCAAGTTCGCCGGCGCGGGGCCCGCCGTGCCGCCGCTCGCGCGGACGCCGAACCGCGACGTCGGCCTGAGCCCCTTCGGCACGCCGCGGAGCGCCGTGGCCGCGCCGCCCGACGGGCGGCGCGGCACGGGCCGCGACGAGAGCTCCAAGTCCGCGCGCGAGGACGACGCGGCGGCCGAGCGGCGGCGGCGGAGCCTGCTGGGCGCGGGCGCGCCCCCGGCCCAGCCCGAGGGCGGCGCGCTGAGCGACCTGGACCAGCGCCTCGCCCTGCGGCCCGCGCCGCCGAGCTCCGGCCGGCGGAAGCCGCCGCCCGTGCGCGTCGTCATGGAGGGCGGCAAGCGGTTCACGTTCCACCGGCCCGTCGACGAGATCCTCGCGGAGGACGTCGACGCGTCCGACGAGGAGAAGGAGCCGCCCATGTGCGCCCAGTTCCCGCGCGTCGAGGGGTCCCGCATCAGCGAGGGCTTGTTCGAGCGCTACGCGCTCCCCGACGGCACGGAGAGCCACTTCTACTTCCGGAACCGGAACCACTCGCACTTCAACGAGGACACGGACCCGCGGCCCATCCCGCCGACGGACGACCTCAAGAGCGTGCTCGGCAACGCGCACATCCCCTACGGCCCCGCGGCGCCCGCGCTCGACGACGCCGCGTGGCCGCCGCTCTACACGCCGCTCAACAAGGCCGCGGACGAGCTCAACAAGTACATCTACGGCGACGCGGGCGGCGACGACGGCGCCGACGACCTGCGGCACCACCCGGGCCTCAACGCGTTGGGCCTCGGCGACGGGAAGCACGGCGCGGGCAAGGGGGGCGGCGAGTCCTTCGAGGATCCCATGGTCCTCGTGCTCAAGCCGGAGCACGTGCGCGAGGTCGACAAGGCCGAGGACACGGGGCCGAAGCTCGGCCCCAACGGCGAGCTCCTCTGCCCCGACGGCAAGCCCCTGGGCTGGAACATCGCGTCGTCGGCGATCTGGCGCCCGCGGGGCCCCGAGATGTCGCCGCCGTACTCGCCGCGCGACTACTACCACAACAAGAAGTTCTACCGGCGCTCGGCGACGCACGACTGGAACGAGATGATGGGCCGGAGCCGCTTCGTCAACGTCGTCAAGCGCCTCGTCGGCGAGCAGAACCTCGAGGCGGAGCTCGCGGCCATGAAGAAGGTCTTGACGGAGAACTTCCGGCTCACGTCGAACGTCTTCCACTTCTTCGCGGCCATGTACGGCTCGTCCAACGAGCACCAGCTCGGCGAGAACGGCTTCAAGGAGTGCATCGATTCCTGCGGCATCCCGGACCGCAAGAACAAGGCCTGCAACACGACGACCGTCGACCACATCTTCATCGAGGCGAACGTCGACGACCCCGTGTCCGCCGCGGACAAGCGCAACACGACCAAGTCCATGCCCGCCGAGGCGAAGAACTCGACGAATTTGATCGTGCGCTTCGAGTTCCACCAGGCTCTCATCCTGCTCTCCATCGCCAAGTACATCCACGGCGGCGAGGAGACGCGGCCGTCCGCGGCCTTCGAGAAGCTCATCAAGGAGCAGGTCGCGAACGCCAAGGAGAAGGAGCCCCTCAGCACGCACGACCCCGACGACTTCCGGCGCCACGCGCTCTACAACGAGGACGTCGAGCAGGCCATCATGCCCCACATGTCCATGCTCCGGGAGATGTACAAGACGTTCACGACCGTGAGCGCGATCAAGAAGAAGATGTCCGTGCGGGACTGGATCCGGCTCATGGTCGACGTGTCCTTCTTCGACGAGGACTTCACGCGCTGCGAGGGCAAGCTCGCCTTCGTCTGGTCCCAGATGAAGACCGCGGACACGACGAAGCACGCGGCCGACTTCACGACGCTCAGCTTCACGGACTTCCTCGAGGCGCTGTGCCGCGTCGCCGTCGCGAAGACGTGGCCCAGCGACGACGTGCTCGACGCGACGCAGTTCGACGTCGAGACGGCGCTGGCCTACTTCGACAACTGCGAGTCCTACAACGACGACCCGAAGAAGGCCATGTACATGGACGAGCCGGGCGAGTACGAGGACTGGGACGACCACAACGTGGCCATGAAGATCAAGAAGCTCTTCCTGACCATCTACCGGCGCCTGGCCAAGATCATGCAGTCCAACTCCGCCTTCCTGTCGCGCTGCGTGCGCCCGGGCATCCAGCGCGCGCTCATCCAGCTGGGCCTGTCGTCGGCGCAGCGCGCCGTCGGCGGCGGCCGCGGCGCGGTCATGATGGGCGGCGCGCCGCCGCGGTCGCCGGGCCAGGGCCTCCGCGACTCCCAGGCCGTCGCCCGCGGCGCGCCGAGCTTCCGCCCGGGCACGGCGTCGAGCGCCGCGTCCGGCTCCAACGCGTCCTACTCGCGGCCGGGCACGCCGAGCCGGCCGCCGACCGCGCCGGTGCCCGAGGACGCGCCCGCGGCCGACGACCGGCCCCTGAGCGGCGCCGAGGCCGGCTTGCTCTCCAACATGATCGGCAAGGGCGCGTTCGGCAAGTAATTTTATTTCGATCTTGAGGGGATTGTAGTATTTTGACAGCATGTTGGACCTGACTGCCGCAGCATGTGCTTTCGACGCGCTCGGCAGCGCTGCGGCCGCAGCGAGCGAAACAGACGCGCTCGGCAGCGCTGCGGCCGCAGCGAGCGACACAGACGCGCTGGACAGCGACGACGACGCCAGCACTGCACTCAACAGCATCCTAAAAGCCTTACGAGTCCACGACGCGGCGGCGCGCATCGAGCGGAAAGCGGACGCGCCGCGGCACTGCACGACCGCCGCCTGCCTCTGCGGCCGCGAGGCCGTGCTCGACGGCCACCGCTACGCGTTCGGCCACTGCGACCTCGCGCGCGACGACGTCGACGCGAACCGCGTCGCGGAGCGCTTCCGCGCCGCGGCCTGCAGCTGCTGCAAGGCCGCTCGCAAGGCGGCGAAGCGTGCGGCCGCCGCGCCGCCGCGCCGCTGCCACGGCTGCGGCGCGACGGACCACGTCGCTAGAGACTGTAGCATGGGCAGAACCGCTTCGCGCCGCGACTCCTTCCTCCGCTGCGGCGAGGGGTGCTTCCCGCGGCGCTTCGTCGTGCCGCTGCACCGCGCGACGACAAACTTCGACGCCGACGGCGACCTGCGGCCGGGCCGCGTGGACGTCGCCGCGCGGCTGCTGACCGCGACGCTCGTCGCGTCGCAGCGCGTGCGCCACAACGCCCAGCTCTGGCTGCCCTTCCTCGGCGGCGAGGCGCCCGCGACGACGGTCTGCGCGAGCGGCGGGCCCGCGCGCGGCCTCCATCCGAGCGAGCGCGACGCCGCGCGGCGCCTGCGCCTCGCGCTCGACGGCGGCGACGACGACGCGACGGCGCGCGAGCGCAAGGGCTTTCGGGTGCTGCCCGGGGGCTTCGTCGACGCGCTGGCCGAGGCGCTCGCGCTCGCGCGCGCGCCGGACGACGGCGGCTCCGCGGCCGCGCCGCTGCTGATTCTAGCCGAGGGCGCGCCGCCCCTCGCGGACGTGCTCCGCGGCCACGGGCCGCTCGACGACCTCGTCGTCGTCCTCGGCGACGACGTCGGCCTCTCCGACGACGAGGTCGCCGCCGCGACGCGCCTCGGCGAGGCGCACGGCGGCCGCGTGCTCACGGCGTCCCTCGGCCCCGTCGCCCTCCTCGCGTCCCAGTGCATCACCCTCGTCCACTGGCACCTCGACGCGATCCACGCGTGCCCCGCGCACCTCTGGGCGCCGCCGGAGCAGCGCTCACGCGTCAGCATCCGGAGGCGGAAGCGCGCGAATGCCAAGTCCTAATCCTCCTTTTTTTTGGCCGCGAGCGCGCGGACCTCGACGAGGAGCACGATCAGCCACATGGGCACGAACACCTTGCCGATGAGGTCGGCGATCTCCGTGGCGAGGCCGGACCGGATGTCGTGTTTCGCCTCCATCTCGACCATGGCCGGATGCATGCGCGGGAAGTAGAGGCAGCATCCCAGCACCATCGCCGCGGCGCCCATCGCGCGCGTCTGCGCGTCGCTCGTCGCGATCACGGCGAGCAGCATGGAAAAGATGACCTTGGAGTTCCCGACCCACATGGAGTAGAACTCGATCGTGCGCAGCGCCGGCCAAGCATTTGACGGACACGGCGGCGTGTATTGCCGAGCCGCAGCCACGTTAAATTGAGTATAGCCCTTGAATGCTCCTGGCGAGAGCCCGTCCATCTGCGTCGCATCCGTGTCGAAGTACTGCTGGTACGCGCTCAGCAGCTCCGCGATGATGAACAGCGTCGAGGCTGCGGTGAATGCTTTGCCCATGTTTGGCAGCCCTGTCTTTGAAATTCAAGCTCGACGCCAACGCGACGTTCAACCAGGAGACGATCGGAGACGCGCGCGAGCTTTTACCTAGGGCGCCGTCGAGGGACGGACCTGGGCGGGCGCCGTCGACGGGCGGGCCGGCGGTTCGGCCGGCCGCGGCTTCTCGCGCCAGCCGTAGTCGTAGGACCAGGCCATGCCGGCCTCGCGGCGCGTCTTCTTCCGGCGCCGCGGCTTGCCCGCCTCGAGGAGCGTGGAGAAGGCGCGCGTGATGGGGATGGGCGTGCCGTCGACGCGCGCCGCGCGGGGCTTGGCGCTGCCCGGCCGCCGGGACGTCGGCGTCGTCGGCCGCACGCGCGACCGCACGTCCGGGCGGGCGTCGCGGCCGTCGGAGACGCGCCAGAACGGCTTCTCCTCGCGGCGCTTCGGGGGCGCGCCCTCGCGCGCCGAGTGGTCGCGCATCGTGAGCACCGTGGCCGCGGACGGCCGCGCGGAGACGGCCGCGCCGTAGCGCTCGCGCGCGGAGAGCTCGCGCGCGGAGCCCGACCGGACCGGCGCGCCGCCGAAGTTCTCGCGCGAGCCCTGGCGCGCGAGCGACGTGCTGAAGTGGCGCACGTCGCGGCGCCGCGCCGCGCGGCAGCTCAGGCTCATCTCGCTCGGCGTCGGCTGCGGCGGGTAGCGCGGCTTCCTCCGCCGCGTGTCGTGGAACGCGAAGCGCTCGCTGAGGCTCTTGCCGAAGAGCGCGTTCGCGCGGCAGGAATTCTCGCGCTGGTCCCGATGAGGCTGCGGCGGCTTGTAGACGAAGGAGTTGTGCTGGTGCGTCTGGTAGACGCCGATCTTGCCCGCGTTCCAGGCCAGCGGCATTGGTGTGTTGACCAATTCAGCTCGTGTGTCGTTGCGACTCTTCACTTCCCACCGAGCCCACCACGTTGCGTGATGGCGCCGCGACGCGTTGTTCACCGCGTCCGAGCGCACATGTTGCGCGAGAACAGGGCTAGAAGAGAGCGCACATGTTGCGCTAGACGCCAGCTCCGGGCAGAGAGGCGTTACTATTGTACTTGTAAACATGATTCCTGAACTTCAAAATGAAGGAAACCATCTAGGGCCGGCAGCAGGCGCAGGTCGCGTCGCGGTTGCGCTCGCGCTTGAGGACGCAGCAGCAGCCGATGGAGGCCCAGATGGCGACGACGAGCGCGACGACGGAGAGCATGCCGAAGGCCTTCTGGCCGCCGTCTCGGTCGGTCCCGCCCGCGGAGCTCAGGACCGAGAGGACGAGCCAGGCGGGGAAGCAGAGGCACGCGAGGCTCCAGTGGACCGGCCGCGTGCAGCCCGTCATCCGCGGCCGCGGCGGCGGGAGCTTGGGCGTGCCCGGCTCGTCGACGCCGTCCTCGACGGACGACTGCGTCGACAGCGCGCGCGCGAGGCGCCGCTCGCCGCCGCTCGTCTCGAGGACCGTGCGGATGAAGACGGCCTCGAGGGACGGCTGGGAGATCGCGTAGCCGACGAGGGCCGCCTCCTCGCCCCGCCGCTCGAGCGCGTCGAAGACCGGGCCCATCCGCATCGCGGCCTGGGGGCACTCGAAGGTGAAAACGCCGGCGTTGGGCGCGCCGTCCTCGACGGCCGCGCCGCCGAAGACGTCGCCGGCGAGGCTCCGGAGCTTCGCGGACGCGCCGGCGGGATCGCTCGCGAAGGCCTCGGGGTCGACGCGGAGCTCGACTTCGTAGTTCGTGCCCAGGGACCGCTTCAGGTGCTGGATCGTGCCGAGGCACCGCAGGCGGCCCTTGACCATGATCGCGACGCGGTCGCACAGCGCCTCGACCTCCTCCATGAGGTGGCTCGTCAGCACGACCGCGCGCGCGTCCATCGTCGCCCGGACGACGTTCCAGAGGTTCCGCCGCGACACGGGGTCGAGGCCCGCGGACGGCTCGTCGAGCAGCACGCACTGGGGGTCCCCGACGATGGCGATGGCGACGCAGAGCTTGCGCTTCATGCCGCCGCTCAGGCGCATCGCGAGCTTCGTCGCGTGCGGCCTCAGCTCGAGCTCGTCGAGCGCGGCCTCCGTGAGCCGCCCGGCCTCGCCCCCGGGCACGCCGCGGATGCGCGCGAAGAGCTTCAGGTGGTCCGCGCACGTGAGCCGGTCCCAGAGCGTGTTCGACTGCGCGACGACGCCGAGCGCCTCCGCGGCGCCGGAAAAGTCCGTCATCGCGGAGACGCCGTCGACGAAGACGTCGCCGTTCGTCGGCGCGAGGTGGCGGACGACCATGTTCATCGTCGTCGACTTGCCCGCGCCGTTGGCGCCCAACAGACCGAAGCACTCGCCGCGGCGCACGCGGAACGACGCGTCGTGCACCGCCACCGTCTCGCGCGCGTTCGTCCGCGTCCGGGGGAAGACCATGCGCAGGCGCTTGACGACGAGCGTGTGCGGGCCGCCCTTGGCCGGCGCCGGGTCGTCCGCGACGGCCGCGGCCTCGGCCGCGACGTCCGCGTCCGCGTCCGAGGCCGGCGGGAAATCCGGGAAGGTCACGGCGAGCGGCCGCGTGCCGCGGGCCTCGAGGAACAGGCAGAGGCCGACGTAGAGCACGACCTCGGCGGCGAAGATGAGCTGGACCTCCCAGATCCGCGGCCCGCCCGGCGCGGGCTCCGTCGTCGCGACGAGGTCGAGCGCCATGAACGTCGTGCCCTGCGGGCTGAAGACCGTGATGAGCCAGTACTGGGACGCCTGGATCTTCTCCATGGAGAAGCCGTCGTCGAACTGGCGGATGACCGTGTAGACGACGAGCGTCGTGAGCTGCGGCCCCAAGATCTGCACGATCTGGAGGCCCGGCACCGCGGCGACGCAGCGCTTCGCGGAGCCGAATAGAAAGCTCACGACGTAGCTGTAGGCGACGACCTGGCACAGCGCCATGGGCACGAACCAGAAGATGGCGCCGTCGGCGAGCCACCGGTGCATGCCCGTCGCGGGGACGACGACGTAGTACGCCGCGAGCACGGGCGACAGGAGCGCGAGGTCCCCGAGGAACGCGCCCGCCCAGTAGGCCCGGAGGTCGCAGCCCATGACGCTCAGCACGTTCCGCAGCTTCGTCTCTCGTTCTGCGACGATGTTCTCCGCGATGAGCGCCGGCGCCAGCAGGAAGCCCGCGGCCGCGATGGCCGACGCGACGAGGTCGTTGAGGTAGTCCTGCTTCGACACGACCTTGTACTTGGCCATGAGGAACCCCGCGAGCACGGCGCCGATGGGGAGCAGGAGGAGCGCGAGCGTCTTGATGGGCTCGTGGGACGCCGTGTGGAGCCGCTTCTTCGCGAGGCCCGCGATCTGGACGGCGACGGACGGCGCGTGCGCGCGGCCCGCGCCGATGCGCGCGGCGTCGCTGGGCCGCGACGGCGCGACGGACTCGTCGGCGCCGACCTTGAGGAAGACCTCCTCCAGCGACGTGATCGTCAGCCCGTAGGTCGTGACGTCGAGGGCGCCGAGCTTCGCGTCGAGCGCGTCGAAGAACGCGCCGAATTTCTTCTCCGACCCGAAGGGCAGCGTCGCCTCGAACGTCGGCTCCGCGACCTTGCGCCGCGCGAGCGTGGCGGCGCGCGACGCGCCGGGCAGGTGGGACGCGAGGAGCGCGTCGAAGCGCGCCAGGCTCGCGGCGTCGCCGCCCGGCGCGCGCTCGCAGACGACGCGGTAGCCCGCGCCGTAGTACTTCTTGAGGAACGCACTTGAGCCGACGCACTTGATCGCGCCGTGGGTCATGATGCCGATGCGGTCTGCGTGGGGCGGACAAGTCACGAAAATCATTGTCAAAAACGGGACGCGGCGTCGCGCCGCCGAGCACGTCGGCCTCGTCCATGTAGTGCGTCGTGAGCAGGAGCGTGCGGCCCTTCTTCGTCGCCGCGAGCTGGTCCCAAAGCTCGCGCCGCGCCAGCGCGTCCATGCCCGCCGTCGGCTCGTCCAAGAGCGCGAACTTGGACCCGCCGCAGAGGGCGACGGCCGTGCTCAACTTGCGCCGCATGCCGCCGGAGAGCTCGTGGCCGAGGTGGTCCGCGCGCTCGTGGAGGTGGAACGTCGCGAGGAGCGCGTCGGCCTCGGCGGCCGCGGCGTCGGCGGCGGCGCCCTTGAGCCGCGCGAAGAACGCGAGGTGCTCGCGCGCCGTGAGCAGCTCGAAGAGGACGTCGTGCTGCGGGCACACGCCCGTGACCGCGCGCGCCTCGTCCATGCCGCGCCGGATGTCGTGGCCGTAGATCGTCGCGCCGCCGTCGTCGGCCGCGGCGTCGCTCGGGAGCACGCCCGTGAGCACGTTGATCGACGTCGACTTGCCCGCACCGTTGTGGCCCAGCAGCGAGAAGATCTCGCCGTCGTACATGTCGAAGGTGAGCGAGCGGACGGCGACGTGCGCGCCGAAGCACTTGCGGAGCCCCGCGAGGCGCACCGTCGGCGCGTCTCCGCGCGCGACCTTTTCGGCGACGACGTCGTCGCCGTCGCCGACGTCGACGGCGACGGCGGCCGGCGACGTCGCCTCGGCGAACTCGATGGCGGGCGCCTCGGCGCCCGCGCGCTTCTTGAAGAGCGGCGCGACGGGGAAGTACCAGGGCTTGGGCGCGGCGTACGCGCTCGGCAGCACCTGGCCGAGGTACCACGCGAGCAGCGAGAAGAGCAGCGCGTCGAGCAGCAGCATGCCGCAGATCTCGCCGAGCGGGATCCCGTCGTACTGCGTGTACTTGTGGAAGCGCTTGTAGGTGAGGCTGTCCCAGTCCGGGAAGACGGACGACACGTTGAAGTCGTCGTTGTTCGGGATGCCGTAGTCGGCCTCGAGCTCGGGGCAGCCGACGGACCAGAGCACGTGCTCGTGCCGGCCGCAGCCGCCGGCGAGGCGCTTCTCCGGCGCGGGCCGCGGGTGCTCGCCCGTCGTCGGCGGCCCGCGGAAGGAGTTGACGCCGAGCTCGAAGGCGACGTGCGGCAGGAGGCACCACGCGCGCTGCGCGGAGGGCGCCACGTCGTACCGCTTCACGTCCGGGCCCACGAAGACGAAAAAGAAGGCGATCGACGCGGCCTGGACACCGAGGGCGAGCTGGCCCGCTGTCTGCGCCGTGTCGAAGACCGACGCGATGAGGCAGGCGAGCGCGCTCGTCGCGAGGCAGAAGCACCAGAGGAGGCCGAAGACGCTCGCGAACGCGCCGCCGTTGAAGAGCCGCGTCGCCGCCGCGAGGACCGCGAGGCCGAGGCTCAGCGCGAAGCCCGTCGCCGCGCCCTCGGCCGCGTAGGCGCCGAAGTAGACCTCCGTCTTGAGCGACATGATCTTCATCGTCTCCAGGAGCCGCGCGCTCTTCTCGGCGACGAGGTCGACGGTCGAGAGGTTCAGGAGCATGATCACGGCGCAGGGGCAGAACACGAGCTCGAGGTAGCCCGTGGAGCGCCGGTCCGGCAGCGCGAAGCTCAGGTAGAAGAAGAAGGCGAGCAGGAAGCCCGTCGCCGGCAGCAGGAAGAGCTGGAGGTTCTGGCCCATGGACCGCTTGCGCACGACCCAGCGCTTGCCGCAGACGACCTTGAGCTGCGCGAGGCGCCGCGATGCCATGGTCCCTCGTCGAGAGGCTCTTACACAGACGCAGGCGGCCGGAGACGCCGGCAGACAGACGCTCGGCTCGTGCTTGGCTGCCCACGAACGCTGGCCACACGAGACACGCGTCGAGAAACTTTTTGCGATGTGCCGTCCCGAAGCTGACATTGATGTATCTACTCGACGTGCAGCCCCGGAGCGGCGTGCTACGATGGGATGACCATCTTTGAGCGCCCCGCGCTCCGCGAATATGCAGCGATGTGCAACGATCCCAGTGGCTTTGAGGACCGCAAGTACATGGATGAGGCACATGCGAAGACCCGACCTCTGGACGATTGCGTGGCGACTCGAACGGGGAGGTTTAGTGGGTTAAATGGGACCCGATGGCGCCCCGCGACCCCTTCCGGCTCGATTTCGAGCCGTCGCAGCCGCGGGGATCGTTTATCATGACCCCGGCATCGTCTCGTGCCAAGGGTTCGTCGGGGGAGCTCGACATCGTCGATTCCACCCGGTCGAGCTCGGATGGCGCCACGCCCAAACGAGGACTCGGTGGTGATCCACGGTGCTCGCAGCGCCACAGAGGCGAGGGAACGGTGTCATACCATCACCCGACCGACCGACTTCATCCCCGCCAGCCGCGGCAGCGTCTGGGGCCGTCGGGACGTCGGTCGAGACCGTGGATGAGGGGCTGCCCGGCCGTTAAGGTTTCGCCGCGCGATCGAACCCTGAAATCGACCAAAGTGCATATTCATGGACACCGTCGCGCGCTCATCTCGAAGATGCGCTCAGGTCGATTTCAGCCCGACTTCCCCAAAACTCGGTCCGGCGACGCGTGACGATTTCAGCAACATCCTCGCGCTCCGCGCTGGTATCAAACGCTTGGTTTACGGCATGTTGCCCGGCGTATCGCAAAAAGTTTCTCGACGCGTGAGAAGCTCGGCCCAAACAAAAGCTGGAATCTTGACCTCAACAACTGATTGCAATATCTTGAACTTCAATAAACGAACATATATCCTTATGTTGCTGCCATCCTAAACTCAGGTTGCGTCAGATCCTGACGCCTCCCCAGCGAGTAATGGCGTCCATCATCTTATTATGCGCCCTCCCGGCCGCCGTGACGGCGTCGGGCTACGCCGAGAGCGTGGACCTCGTGGACAACTTCCGCTGGACCCAGGAGTTCGGGGACACGCGCACGCTCTACCGCACCCCCGACGCGTCGGCGAGCTGCCTCGCCTCCTGCGCCGAGGGCAGCGACAGCATCGCCTGCGACACGAACGTCGAGATGAGCCGCACCTGGCGGCGCGAGGCCCAGACGAGCAACTGGCACTGGGTCTACGCGGACCAGGGCGGCTGGCCGCGGGCCAACGGCGGCAGCAACGAGTGCCTGCGCGACCGCGAGGCGAACACGTACCCCGGCGAGAGCCCCGTGGACGTGGCCCCGGACACGGCGGCGGCGCTGGGCGCCGGCGAGGTCAACATCTCCCTCGCCGGGTCCTTCGCCTCCGCGCGCGGGGGCCTGAGCGTCGGCAACAACGGCCACAACATCAACGTGGAGGTCTGCGGCCGCAACGCGTTCGACTGCGCGGCCACCGCGGACTTCGGCCTCTGGCCCAAGACGCTGCGGGGCGTGCCGGGCAACGAGAGCGACACCTACTTCCTCCACGGGGTCCACTTCCACTGGGGGTCCGACCTCACGAAGGGCTCGGAGCACACGGCGTGCGGCTCGCCGCGGCCGGCGGAGATGCACATGGTCTTCATCAACGCGCGCGCGGTCGCCGGCGACCGGTCCGACCCCGACTCGGGCACGCTGCTCGTGGTCCTGGGGACCATGCTCACGGGCGGCGCGGCCGAGGACAACGCGGCCTTCGCGCCGATCCTCGAGGTCGCGTCGGCCGCGTCCGGCACGGGCGCGGCGACCTACATGAACACGTCGGGCACGCTCCAGTCGCCCGTGACCATCGCGGACCTGCTCCCGGCGACCTACGATTCCAAGTTCTACACCTACGCCGGGTCGCTGACGACGCCGCCGTGCTCGCAGGTCGTGACGTGGTTCGTCTTCGAGGACGCCGTGCGGCTCAGCGACGCGCAGCTCGACATGTTCCGCGAGGTCCAGGAGGTCTGGCACGCGAACGCCTGGCATTCCCACTCCTACAAGGCGCTCCTCTTCCCCTTCGTCGTGCTCGCCATGGGCGCGTTCACGCAGCACGTCCTGTCGCGCTACGCGCCGTCGGTTCCCTACACGATGCTCATGCTCGTCGAGGGCTTCGTCGTGGACTACCTCGCGTCGCTCCAGAACGGCGGCGCCCGGTGGGGGGGCACGAACTCCATGCAGCAGTCGCTGAAGATGTGGGCCGACATCGACGGCCACCTGCTGCTCTACGCGTTCCTGCCCGCGCTCCTCTTCGGCGACGCGATGGGCCTGTCCGTGCACATGTTCCAGCGCACGTTCTGGCAGTGCCTGCTGCTCGCGGGGCCGGGCGTCGTCATGGGCGCGGGGCTCACGGGCCTGGCGTCGCGGGCGATCCTGCCCT